TTTTTTTTTTTTTTAATAAATGGAAAAGCAAAAAACGAATATTATTAATAACGCAGAGAAAATTTGTAATATTGATCTTGTATAGAATAAATAACAGGGAAATACTACTGTCCCCCATTACGGAATCATTCCGTCAGAAATTGTAACCGTTAGATCATTATGTAGCCGTCGAGAATAATTGATCTAACGGTTATAAATCCAGACGGAATGGTTCCATAACGGGACGTAGCATCTCCATAAATAATAACCGCACATTAATATTAATTTTGTTAAAACCCAAAATCCCATCCGTAATTATTAGAACCAAAGTTTGCGACTACTTGTAGTAGTAGTAAGTGTTGAAGAAGCGAAAGATGTATTAATCGTGCGTGCATCTGAGGTGCTCAAGTCCACCTCCTCGGTGGCCAGCGCTCCAGCACCACCACAATCTCTACTCTACCGCCAACAGAACACACAGCTAAGGTAAATTACGGAGATATTTAACCTTCTCTGTTTTTCCATTGTCTTCCCATCCCAATTTACGGAGATATTCAATAAATGGGCAATATAGAATGTCTGAGAGTAGTTAAGAAATTTTCATAATTTTCCCATTATCTTCTTTTCTTTGTAGAGTGGTGTTGTTGACTTGTTGGCTTGTGACTGTGAATGAAAGTTGATTAGTTATTAGAAGTCGGCGTCACGTGTATACCGAAGAGCGTTTCCAAGTTGTGGAAAGATGGAAACATCTTGCATTTTCTCAACATTGAAGTCCCCGTGCAACTACGGCCTTCCAAGTAGTCGGGTGTTGTTAAGTTCCACGTTTTCAGATCGTATTTGGGCGAGTTCAAGTAGCGGAGGCAACAGCAGCCGCATGAGAAGAAGCCGCAAAAAGAATGTAGAACAAAGTGTTGGGTACAATAAGCATACCGTAGTTATATCGAAAGAAAACAAAAAACAACACGAGGAGGAGCAGGAGCAGGAGCAAGTATTTTGTGATGAGAAAAGGATGTATCAAAATGGGGATCCGTTGGGGCGAAAAGATTTAGGGAAAACTGTGGTGAAGTGGGTATCCCAAGGAATGAAAGCCATGGCGTTGGATTTTGCAGCGGCAGAGGCTCAGGGGGATTTTGGTGAGTTGAAACAGAGAATGGGTCCCGGCCTCACATTTGTGATTCAGGCTCAGCCTTACTTGAGTGCTGTTCCCATGCCTCCAGGAGTGGAGGCTATCTGCCTCAAGACCTGCACTCATTATCCCACACTGTTCGACCACTTTCAGAGGGAGCTTAGAGACGTTTTGCAGGACCTCCAACATAAAGGGCTTATATGCAATTGGCGTGAAACTCAGTCGTGGAAGCTGCTCAAACAACTGGCTAATTCAAGTTCTCTCTCTCTCTCTCTCTCTCTCTCTCTCTCTCTCTCTCTCTCTCTCTCTCTCTCTCTCTCTCTCTCTCCATGTTTTAATATCTATCAAGCTCTAGTGATTATGTTTAAGATGGTCAGAATATTTACTTCAATCAAACTTCAACGAGCTTAAATATAGCCGGTTGCAAATCAATTTATTCTTTCGTTTATCAAGGTCGAAATCACTGAGTTTTGAATTACATCCAACGTCAAAATGTGTTCTAGCGTGTTTGAAAATTTGACTAACATATTCCTATCAAGCTATTTAACTTACAATCTCGAACCAGTTATTGAGTAGTTTGGTTTGAGTTTGATTTTTAGCCCTGTTATCTCGGACATCCAACGCAACCATTGGTGATTCTGAACTGATGAATTTTTTTTAATACATTTCACAATTTCAGCTCAGCATAGAGCCATTGCGAGGAAGACTTGCATATCCAAGTCAGTCTATGGTGTCTTAGGATTGAAGCTGGAGAAAGCCAAAGCTATTCAGACCAGAATCGACGACTTTGCCAAGAAAATGTCCGATCTTCTTCGCATAGAGAGGGATGCTGAGCTGGAGTTTACTCAGGAAGAGCTGAATGCTGTTCCGATGCCTGACGAGCATTCCAGCTCGCCCAAGCCCACCGAGTTTTTGGTCAGCCATGCCCAGGCGGAGCAAGAGCTTTGTGATACCATTTGCAATCTTAACGCCATCAGCACATCCACAGGCATACTCTTCTTTGAATTCCTACCTCTCTTCACGTAACTCTTGGTGACAATATTTTTTTGACTTTTATGTCTTTTGATGGAGTGTGCAGGATTAGGAGGGATGCATCTCGTCTTGTTTAGGGTGGAGGGGAAGCACAGATTGCCACCTACTAACCTTTCCCCTGGGGACATGGTTTGTGTGAGAATATGCGACAGCAGGGGTGCTGGGGCAACTTCTTGCATGCAAGGGTTTGTTAATAATCTGGGTGATGATGGCTGTAGTATTACTGTGGCTCTCGAGTCCCGTCGTGGGGATTCTACCTTTTCAAAGCTTTTTGGGAAGAATATACGCATAGATCGCATCCAAGGATTGGCTGATGCACTCACATATGAGGTACTAAATATATTAAGTTAAAATTTAACCACATTGACGTGGATGCTCTCTCTTTTGTGTCTTTATGATATGTTTATATGTGCATGGGGAATCTAGTAGGAAATTTCTCTTATTGATCATAAGATCGTGTTAAATGCAATTCCTCTTTTACTAAGGTTGCTGTTACAACTTGAAATAGATTTTAGCTCCTTAAATTTACTAATTCTTTCTGTGGGGGTCCCAAAATATGTTTTCACTTCCATTGTTGTTTTGTGCAGCGTAATTGTGAAGCTTTAATGATGCTGCAGAAGAAAGGCTTGCAGAAAAACAATCCTTCAATAGCAGTGGTGACCACAATTTTCGGAGACAGTGAGGATATTTTGTGGTTCGAGGACAATAACATGGTAGATTGGACAGAGTCTCAACTGAATGGTTTGACGGACACCAAATTTTACGACCTGTCCCAACAAAGAGCAATTGCATTAGGTTTAAACAAGAAACGTCCTGTTTTGGTAATTGAAGGCCCACCTGGAACTGGGAAGACAGGTGTGCTTAAGCAGTTAATTTCAACTGCTGTTAAACAGGGTGAAAGGGTACTTGTCACAGCACCTACTAATGCAGCTGTGGATAACATGGTCGAGAAATTATCCGACATTAATGCTAATATTGTGAGGGTCGGTAATCCAGCACGCATATCACCTGCAGTAGCATCCAAGTCACTGGCCGAGATTGTGAAAAACAGTCTCTCGGATTTTAGGTTGGAGTTTGAGAGGAAAAAATCCGATCTGAGGAAGGACCTGAGCCTTTGCTTGAGAGACGATTCTTTGGCTTCTGGCATTCGTCAACTTTTGAAACAGTTGGGAAAGACGATGAAGAAGAAGGAGAGGGAAGTAGTGAGAGATACTCTTTCGAGTGCTCATGTCGTGCTCGCCACTAATATCGGTGCAGCTGATCCATTGATCAGATGGCTTAAACCGTTTGACTTGGTCGTGATAGATGAAGCGGGACAAGCCATCGAACCCTCTTGCTGGATACCAATACTGCTCGGGAAACGTTGTGTACTCGGGGGAGACCAGTGCCAGCTAGCACCAGTGATTCTGTCGAGGAATGCCTTGGAAGGTGGGCTAGCTGTGTCATTAATGGAAAGAGTATCGGATTTGCACCAAGGGGTTCTCGCCACAAAGTTGACGACACAGTACAGGATGAATGATGCAATAGCCAGCTGGGCATCGAAAGAGATGTATAATGGCTTGCTGGAGTCTTCTGCAAGTGTCACGTCTCATCTGCTATCCGATTCTCCATGGATCAGGGTACTGTTCTTATATCGAATTTCTTTACTTTATATTCAGAAAAGCTTCTTTGGGCTTAAATATATTATATGGATATTGCATTCCTTGGATTTATGTGCCTATCGTATGGATGACACTATTTTGTAGGTCTTTACTCACTGCTTGGTACCATGAAAGGTATCGAAAGAACTTGTTACATGCATATGCCTAAAATTGGTTAAGGTATCCATGTCCGATGATTTTCTAGAGATGTATATAGCAAGTTGTTTTTTCTGTATTCAATGATGATCTCCTAGATATCAAAACAGCAAGTGGGCATTTCTGAGGTTACTTCTACAGTCCTATTATTTGCATTATTTTGCATTTAAAAATCTGTTGTTCATGATGAAAAGGGATACATGTCAGGTTCATAAAGGAAGTTCCTGTTGGGGATGGAATATGGGAAGTGTATGAAGCAAAATAAAGTGGATTAAAAGTGGTTTGTGAATTTAAGTGGGCAGATGAATAACAACCGGCAAGAGTTTAATATTTTTTACTAGTTATTAAGAACTCATAGGACGTCACTAACAGGGCGAAATATAATGGCATTCTATCTTTTTCCAATCTACTTTTAAAAAGAAACAGTTTATTTTGCAAAAAATGGTTCACTGTCCAGTATGTAGAGAAGGACAACATGTGTGGATCCAGTTAAATAACTCTAGAACCTCGACGAAAAATGGAAGAAACTTATCGTAAAACAAGAACAGAAGCAAGATGAACTTTAGGGTGTTCTTGCAGATGTTGTAACGCTTCAGGTTAAATGTCCTGTCTCATTTCCTTGAGTATTCTTGAACATTTTGTCCAGTCTTTATTTAGTTTTATTCTTTTTCCTCTCCATCCTTCATGATTTGCTCTCCTTTGATTGATGTCACGATCAAAACTATCTCATTTTTTTTTTTTCTTCGCAAATGTGCAGTTGGAAATTCTCCAATAGAGACAATAGATAAACATCTCAATAGCTTTCTCTCTCTAGGTGGGAGCCTCTCTCCTTGAAATATCCCCTCTTCTAACATCTTGTGAATGACCATGTGAAATATGAGATATCAACCCCTTCATTCGATCACATTGTCATAACCTTCTGTAGTTAGTGTGGCAACTGTCAAGTAGCATGCTTTCGAGTGTTTTGCTTGTCTATTGATATGGTAGTTGTCTCTCATTGATCATTTGAATTCATATCTTAATCATTCAGATATAATTAAAGAAAAATTAGAAATTATCTTGATAATGAAGCAATATGACAGTGACTGCAACTAGATTTTCAGTTTCTTGGAGGACACGGAGATAGATTAGATGAAAATTATTATCGCTCTTCATCATGTTGGCTTCCTTAGACCCAACTTGATCTCTGTCTTATTAAGGTGCTGATGACAACTAATAATATCATATACTCATTGCAGTCAACATGGATCACACAATGTCCATTGCTGTTGCTCGACACAAGAATGCCGTATGGAAGTTTGTCCATTGGTTGTGAGGAACAACTAGATCCAGCTGGCACTGGCTCCTTCTACAATGAAGGTGAAGCAGATATCGTTGTGCAACATGTTTTCGCCTTGATTTATGCCGGTATTCCCGTCTACCTTTTTCTCTTGTTCAATGTAAAAAATTTATTATCATGTGAAAGCCCAACTAAACTAAACTGGTAGTCTTGCAACCACCCATGCTTTAAGTAACTTGATAAAAGATAAAGTGTTCCTACGTATATTCACATCAACCTTTGTATTACATCAAAGATCGCACGGCAGAGTGATTATCTTGTGGATGAACTCCTTTTGAGAAAGACATCATGTTCACCATTACAGGAGATCACTTACAAAATTTAGGGATTTTGGGATACATGAGTCTTGGATATTACTTACTGTCATCTTAGTTGTATTCCATCTTGGTCTTTGCTTGTTATTCTCCTCATAGATTATCTACACACACACAAAAGCAGGAGAATGATATTAGGCTATGTTTGGATGGAGGGCTTTGAAATCCCTTAAATTTTGAATTTTTTGATAATACAAATTTTTCTACTTTCAAACTCCTTGAATGAATTTGTGGAAAGGGTTATAAATCAATTGTCTAGCTCGCATCATCGATTGTATTCACTCTCGTGGTGGTGGTGAATCTAAAGGAAGAGTCATAACAGCGAATTTCAAACGACTAGGTCTGAAGAGTCATTTAAAATCCTTCAAAATAATGACTAAAATCTATCTAGCGTGAATTTGAAATCCTCCAACTTCTATTACATCCGAACATGCATGGAGATTTGAACTTGGTAAATTTAAAAAGTTATAGATTTCAAATCCCTCAACATGTTCCTCAATCCAATTGTAGCCTTAGATAATTATGCTTGCTGTAATATTTCTAGGTGTTCGGCCAGCAACGATTGTTGTGCAATCGCCGTATGTTGCACAAGTGCAACTGCTAAGGGACAGGCTCGAAGAGTCTCCTCTATCCATGGGTGTCGAAGTTGCAACTATCGATAGCTTTCAAGGGTGCGAAGCAGATGCTGTTATTATATCAATGGTAAGATTTAATAAATTACAATGGTTATAGATTTTAATATGCTATAGATTAACAGGTCATCACTGTCATTTTCTTATTCAGAATGTAATGCTGGTCGATTAACATTGCAATTATAAAGCTTTTTTACCGTATGCGTTTTAGAGAAATTAGTAGCATTGTTCTTTATTCAGGTTCGGTCAAACAACTTGGGAGCAGTTGGGTTCTTAGGAGATAGCAGACGGATGAATGTAGCAATTACTAGAGCACGTAAACACGTGGCGATTGTTTGTGATAGCTCGACAATATGCCACAACACGTTTTTGGCAAGGTTGTTGCGGCATATAAGATATTTCGGCCGTGTGAAGCATGTCGAGCCCGGTGGCTCTGGTGGATATGGCCTTAGCATGAATCCGATGCTGCCCTCAATTAGTTAAAAAAACCAGCGGAATTGCCATTATATGGTGGTGTTTGATATACTATTCATAGAAGAAATGACAAAGTCTGTAAATTCATTTGAGTTTGTAAATAATTGCAATTAACACCATTCCACATACTCTGCTATATTTGCATCCATCTATAGAAGTGAGATATTACCATGATTGATTGCATAAGTATTTGTGTAACAAATGGCGATAATCTGTTCTCTCTCAGCAATACTTGTTGTAAACACTTAAATTTGTAATAGAAGGATTAAAATTTGAAACCGTGACCTTAAAACTTGTAATTTGTTTTCGTGTTACAAGAATCTTTAATTTATCTTTATTAAGTTTTGAATTGAGTGAATTAATTAATTAATGTGGTTTATCTTAAGCCTATATTAGGAGACTTGTCTTCTTTTCTTTCGAAAAAACTAGTACAGAACCCGTGCGATGCACGGGGTGCACAATTTTAAGTCATTTATCCATTCTTAAAATTATATAAATGAACAAAAAAAAATGTACGGGATATATATAGAACGTGATTTGTAATAGGCGAAAATGTGAACACGAGTGATGCACGGGGTGCACAATTTTAAGGTTATTTATTAGTGCATACCCCGTGCGATGCACGTGATACATATAATAATCAATTATTTCTATAGGATTTGTACGTCTAGACAAAAAAATAATAGGCTTGGAAATTCATATTTCACATCTTCTAATAAGTGGCGTTTATTTAAGCCAAAAAATTACCATTTTAATTAATATATAATTCCGCTAACACGTCATACTAATATTTATTTGATTTTGAATACATATTTATTCATTGGTATAGGAAAAAATAAAAATTTTATTAATTATTGTTCACCATATAATACTCAATTATTATTTTATTATAAAATTTATAATCATATAATTAATTATTATTATATATAAAAGTTATAGAAGTGGTATTCTTTATGTAATGAAATTCAAAATAATATTTTGAGTATAAATGTTTACAAAATACACACATATGTTTTTTAGAATTCAATTTTCTCATAATAATTCTTTTTTTTAAAAAAAAAATGATTTAGCAATTGTCAAAAAATAAATCCCTTACATAATCAAGAGATTTTTTCTAATTTTCATCCTAATGATTTATAGTTTATTTAACATACTATGCAATAGAAAAATATTTTACAATAAGTTCATTTTTGAAACATAACAAAAAGAAAAAGTGATGAAAACACTATCATAGTTGACAATAATATACAAATAAATAACATGTCGAAATTTTGAAGAATAACTATAATTTTATTATCTAACCATCAATAAAATCATTTAATGATGTGATCATTATCTTTTAAATAATAAATAATATTATTTTTATTTCAAAATATTAGTGTTATATAATTAAATAAAGATTAAAAAATATTACTCGACAAATATTAATTATAATAGATATCAGTAAAATAATTACATAAATTATTTAAGGAAAAAATCATGAATAATCATATTTGGATAGTAAATGTAAATATGCAAGCATTTAAGAATCATTTATTTATTTAAAAAAAAAATAAGTGGACTAAAATAAAACAAAAAAAAAAAATTGTGGACAAAAATAAAACGGACGGATTCTCACAATCCGTGTTTTAAAGAAACACGGATTGTGAGAATCCGTGTACGTGTAATTTTACTACGAACACGGATCACGAAAATCCGTGTTTTGTTAATTATGAACGGAACACGGATTACCAAAATACGTGTTCACTTAATCTCGTAATTAAGCTAATTAATTAAACAAAACACGAATTCTGAAAATACGTGTTTATCTGAACACGAATTATGACAATACGTGTTACTTAAACACGGATCACTAAAATCCGTGTTTAAGTATTTATTCATTTTTTTTTTAAATATTTTTTATAGTATATAG